TGTATATTAAAAGTCTCATAGGAGCGACAGATCCGCCTGATTCTGTTGAACTGTGAGACTGGAAGGCTTTTCTTAAGGGATGTCGGATGATATGAATCACCATGGAGAAGAGAGTTTTTATCAGTGGGCTTACGATATAAATCAGTTTTTAGGTAGCCCCTGTCTTTTATCACCATTATGTCCAAAAAGTTCATTTTAGTTTTATCAAATGACATGGTGAATTGCAGGTGTTTATTCCTGGCATTAATGAAAGTGTATAACTCCTGTAATAAATGTTCTGGTCCTTTCCAAATGAAAAACACATCATCCAGGTACCTCTTCCAGTGGGAGATGTGTTGGAGGAATGGATTTTCCCATTGGTTGAAGATCAGTTCGTGTTTGAACAGTCCAACATACAGGGAAGCAAATGTGGGGGACATCTTGGATCCCATGGCAACTCCGGAGACCTGGAGGAAGAAGTCATTGCCGTAAAGGAAATAGTTAGATGTTAGTACTTCTTTTATAAGGTCCAAGATGCAATCTGTGGTAGGATTTAAGTCAGGTCTTTGGTCCAAGAAGAATTTAGCAGCTCGCAGGCCCCCATCAAAGGGAACATTAGTGTATAACCAGTAAGTGTGTGTCCTCCACTTGTTGTATTGTCTTAATAGTCTTAATGAAATCCATAGAATCTTTGGCATATGAAGGTAACGTAATGGCCAGAGGTTGAAGAAAATAGTCTACAAAGGCTGAGATTTTCTCAGTTACTGAGCCTATAGCAACAGTAGGTCTACCTGGGGGTGTCTATGTGTAGGTTTTATGAATTTTAGGTAGAGTGTAAAAAACCTTTCTTTGTACGTGACTAAAATATTGAAAGACACTTTAATGGGGGTTCCAATCAATTCCTTAGGAAGTGTTTTCATGAAGTATAGACATTTTGTGTTAATGTATAAGCTTTGTAACATACTCTCCTCAACTGTTTTCCAGTCTTTAATCATACTGGGATCAAATAACATTTTTACTTGTTGACAACCAAATGATAAATAATAGTGACAAAAATTAGGAAGCTGCAGACCACCTTTTTTGTTTGGATTAGACATCCTCAAGTATGAACATGGAGCTTTTTTACCATGCCATATAAATGCTGAGATTGCTTTGTGTAAATCATCAAACCAGGCTTTTCGTATTGTAACAGGCAACATTCTCAAGATGTAGTTGATAGTAGGAAGAATATTCATTTTTACAATATTCACTCGACCCCAAAGAGATATGGGAAGGCTTGACCAACGAACAATATTTGCATTTATTTTACTGAAAGTTTGAGTGAGATTTGTATTCCTCGTTTGATAGATGCTTGATGTATTTTTTAATCCTAAATAAGTTATTTCGTTTGTTTTCATTTTATTTTGGTATTGTTTACACATGAGATATCACACGTTTTGTTTAAAGGCATCAATTCACATTTCTCCCAATTTACTTTATATCCTGACAGAGAGCCATAGTGAGTAATGATCTGATTTAGATGAAAAAGTGAGGATTCCACATCTGTTAAATACAATATAATATCATCACAATACAATGATATTTTATGCATTTGGCTTCCAATTTGTACACCTTTTATGTTGTTTTCAGATCTTATTTTCTCAAATAGTGGCTCAATGACTAAATTAAACAATAGTCCTGAAACCGGACATCCTTGTTTTGCACCTCATCCTTGATGTTGGTTGTTGGTTTAAGGTAAAGCATTTTAATCCACTGTATGAAGTTAGTGTATGAAGCTCGCGACCTCGTTCCCATCTCCTCGAACGGACTTTATTTGTTTTCCATTAGATATCAAAAACTTAAATACTCAGAGGTAAAAAAAATCACTGGAGACACGTAGAATCAGATGCAACTGAGTTTAATGTGCCCGCAGGCAACAAACACATCACAACTCAATGAGTCAAGCTCCGGAGCAGGACTGAAATTTCTTTGTTTGCGCACCTCGCATTTATTGTGAAGATTTCTGCTGAGTCATCTTTTTTCTTAATCCTTCCCTCTTGGAGCTGAAACATAACAGTAAAACTTCCATTTTCAAATGATGCTTGATATGTCTGCAGTAGTAGGGGTGATAGATGCTCACTGAACTCCTGATAGAACTCTCCGCTGTAGCCATCAGGTCCCAGAGATTTATTTTTAGCAAATGAATTTATGGCCTGATTTACTTCATATATGGTTATTGGCTGATCGAGTGTATGTTTTTCCTCTTCTGTTAAGTAGGGAAGATTAACGTTATTAAAAAAGATTTGTAGTGACTCAGGGTTATCATCACTGTCAGACCTGTGGAGGTTTTTGTAAAATTCTGTAAATGTCTTGTTTATTTGATCAGGATCAGAGGCTATTGAGTTGTTTGGCAGTCTGATACTAGAAATTGTATTTTTTGTCATCTGTTTTTTAAGTCTTGAAGCCAACAGCATTCCTGCCTTTTCCCCACTTTCATAGTAATTTAATTTTGCTCTCTTTAATTTATATTCAATTTTGCCTCTTATAATGTCCTCATATTTCACCTTTAACTTGCACAGTTCTGTCCATACTTCGTCTTTGTATTCATTTGACAGTAAACTTTGTAACAGCTTAATTTTTGTTAACAATTGGCTTTTCTTCTTGCTGCCGCATTTTATTCTTAAAGCTACCTATCTTGATTAATTCCCCTCTAAGGCAACATTTCAAAGTTTCCCAAATCATTGGAACATTGTTTATGGAGTTTTTGTTAATATCCATGAATGAATGAATGTATTCACTTATTTTCTTCTTGATTACTGGATCTTCAAACAAAGAGTCATTGACCTTCCACTGTTTAGAAAACACTTGTGCAGGTTTTATTATAAAGTCAATTTGGATAGGACTATGATCAGATGTCACTATTGGATGTATTAAACTCTGTGACACATTTTTTACAATATCTTGAGAAATTAGGAATAAATCAATTCTTGAGAAGGTTTGATGTCCATCCATCCATCTTCTAACCGCTTCATCCTCTTGAGGGTCACGGAGGGGGGCTGGAGCCTATCCCAGCTGACATTGGGTGAGAGGCAGGGTACACCCTGGACAGGTCGGCAGACTATCACAGGGCTGACACATAGAGACAAACAACCATTCACGCTGACATTCACACCTACGGACAATTTAGAGTTATCAATTAACCTAATCCCCAATCTGCATGTCTTTGGACTGTGGGAGGAAGCCTGGAGAGAACCCACGCTGACACGGGGAGAACATGCAAACTCCGCACAGAGGGGCTCCCACACCCAGGATCAAACCGGGAACCCTCTTGCTGTGAGGCGACAGTGCTAACCACCACACCACTGCCACCCAGGTTTGATGTCTATTGGAATAAAAAGTAAAATCTCTGACATCACTATGCATTGTTCTCCAAATGTCTACAAGTCCAGAGGCATGCATTAACTTAAATAATGTAAATACAGATTTTTTTTGGTTGGCTTATCTTTCCACTCTTGTCAACTTGTGGGTTTAGTGTTAAATTTAGATCTCCCCCTAATATGATTGTCAAGTTACAAAAATCTAATAGTTTACTCTCTATTGTATGTACTGAAAAATGTTGGACAATCTTCATTAGGTGCATATATATATTTAAAGTAAAGTTTTTTAACCCCACAGAAACATTAATAAGAATATACCTCCCAGATGAATCTCTCAGTACATTGTTGACTGTGAAGTTTAATTTCTTATTAAATAAGACAGCAAGACCAGCCCTCTTTAAGGATTGTCCAGCACTTGGAGCAGCTTTTCTGTTTTTACATGTGTTTCTTGGAGAAAGACGATATCTGGGGAAAATCTTTTTAAATGCGTTAATATTTTACCATGTTTAACCTGATTATTAGCACCATTCACATTCCAGGATATAATTCTTAATTCTCTGCTGTTCATTAAACTATAGGTTAAATATAAAACAAGATAGCATATTTCTTCTTTTCATTGTCAAATACAAACAGATGCAATGAAACAGTAAGGGTAGCTTTCAATTATATCCCAGAAACTGTTGAGAAGTACACATCTTCTCCTCTTAGTTTCCACTTTCCCACTTATCCCACCCTCCCCCCCATTCCCCTCCCATCCTACCTCACACCGATCCCCACACATACACAGAAGGGGCCACACATAAAAGAAGAAAACAAACAAACAAATACACATTAAAACAGAAAAGCACACAAAAGTTTATAGGGAGAACCTCGGCTGTCCATGATAAAAGTCACTGTTACCTAATGCTTTCAAGAAACTATAAGGATAGGAAAACAAAAACAAAAAACCGCTGTCCCTTTTATATAGCTATTCAGGCTTATCAACGTCTACACCTAGTGTGACAGATTTAAATCAAGATAGTAGTTTTAAAGGAGCTATATGTAAGAAATATAAAGCAAATAGTCATAAAATCCTCCTAATATGTCACAGAGACTAAGGAATAATGTTCATATAACATACTGATCTCACCGACAACAATAGTACAGCCAGAATATTTGCATCTAAAAATTTTTTTTTGCAGTCCGCAAATCATGTTTATGTTTTGAATTTGTGTTTTGGCCTGTTGCGCCACCCGCCGCCGTCTACCAGTCACGCAGTCAGTAGAGTCTCAGCATCAGTTACAGTTACGACTGAGCTACAGCAGCACGGCAAGCAGCATTAGCAGTGTCCCGGTACATAGCATTAGCAGCCGGCTCCTCAGCTGTGTCCCGGCAGCAGCGTTAGCAGCAGAGAAGCCGGACTTGCTCGAACGGTCCGCTGGAAAACTGAAGATCAAGGACGCGGCGACGCAGCCCTGCCACGGCAGCCGCCTGTGGGAAAACAAATCAGTCTCCAGCGTGCCGCTGTCCAGCAACCTTGAATCTGTAGGGGAGGGGGGGGCGGACATGACTCGCGGCAGTATTTTGAATTTGAGTGCAGTAACCATTTTGGCCAAATTCTTACATACAGCGCCTTTAACTGAGGAATTCAACAACAGTCTTACTGCCGTAACAAAGCGGGCAGCATCACTTTACCCAGGTTTTCTCCACACCAACAGCTCCATTTGCGGCCTCGGAATCCAGAAATGCAGAGGCTTTAGCAACATCTTCAAACGTGTAGCGCTCGCCAGCCCAATTTAGAGAGATCCTTGCTGGGTACAGCAGAAAAGCCTGGAAACCGGCCTTACGCGCCCTGTTCAGGACCAGGTAGCAGGGCTTGTGCTTTCTGGATGTAGCCTCGCTGTAGTCCGATGCAAACTTTATCTGATGACCAGCTACCTGCACTGGATGTCTTCGGGACTCATTGAGTATCTGATCCCGGTCAGTGCACCTCAGGCACTTTAAGATCAAAGGGCGGGGGTGAGAAGAGGCATCTCTGGGCGCACCAACCCTGTGCGCATGCATTATTTCTGGAGGTTGCTCAGCCAGCGCAGGATACCATTTTTTACCATGTTGGCCAATAAATATTGCCTGGCATTAGATGACTCGACTCCCTCCTTACGGGGCTGTATGTAAGAATGTGGCCAAAACGGTTACTGCACTCAAATTCAAAATACTGCCGCAAGTCGTGTCTGCCCCCCCTCCCCTACAGATTCAAGGCTGCTGGACAGCGGCACGCTGGAGACTAATTTGTTTGCCCACGGGTGGCTGCCGTGGCAGGGCCGCGTCGTTGATCTTCGGTAGCCGACTGCTAATGCTATGTACCGGGACACTGCTAATGCTGCTTGCCGTGCTGCTGTAGCTCAGTCGTAACTGTAACTGATGCTGAGACTCTACTGACTGCGTGACTGGTAGACAGTGGTGGGTGGCGCAACAGGCCAAAACACAAATTCAAAACATAAACATGATTTGCGGACCATAAAAATGTTTTTTTAAATGCGAATATTCTGGCTGTACTATTGTTGTCGGTGAGATCAGTATGTTATATGAACATTATTCCTTAGTCTCTGTGACATATTAGGAGGATTTTATGACTAGTTGCTTTAGATTTCTTACATATAGCTCCTTTAAGGTTAATCAACAGTAGTATATTATCTCTACGTGCTTGTTCTTCAAGCTGGGTGAGTTTGTCCTCATATTTGGTCTGATATTGTGCACAATCTATCTGTCTCAAGTTTTATCACACGGGAGTCAATCTTCCCCACAGTGTCGTGCAATGATTTTAGCTGCTCAGCTTGGCGATTCAGAGTAGACTGCACTGTGTCAACTTTTTTTCCAGCCGACTGAATCGTTCTTTAGCGACATCATCTGCTTCTTGAAAATGTTTGGACAACACATTTTCAATGAATTTTGCAAGAGATGAAGAGTCTTTGCAGTCAAAAGCAGCGTCGGAAAGTTGGTTCATTGTTTGGCGTTCTCATGAGGCAACTCTCCTAGTGTGCATCAAGCGTGCAAAGTTTCACACTCTTATCTTAATAAATCCCAGGTATTGTTCATTTACTCACAGCAGTTCAGTTGAAAAGTCCCTTGCATTAGGACATTTAAATTATTTATGGACAGCTTGGAGAGCACAGTCGGCGTCAGTCACACCGGAAGCTGTCTCAAACTCCACAAATTCATTAAACAGCTCCCCCTGCCATAGTCAGACATATGATTGCTAATTAATGCCCTACTATGGCTCACAACTCATGGTAACAGCTGGAGCTCCTCCGGTGTGAGTGTTTTGCTGGTTAGTGAAACATTTTGGCCCTGAATTTTCACTGGCACTTACCAACCCATTGTGGTCTCTCACAAGGCATTCAAAAATAATTCCAAGCATGGCTGTTTTGGCTTCCTTGTTTAAAATACTTAAAATGTTTCATAAAATAAATTGTTCTTTTCTCCTATCCTCTTGAATGTCTGATAGCCCACCACTAACATTATAGTCCCAACTTGTCTCATCAACAAAAACAAAACATACATTTCATCACATTTTTTATTATCACAGATCTAAGTTGAACTTGTCTACATTTGGTCTTAGGGAAAAGGGTCACTGATGAACATCTACTCATTATAGTTTTTTATTAACAAAATGAGCACAGAGTTTAATACAGTACATGTAAGAAAATAAAACAGTGTTAATTATAATAATAGTTAATAATAGTTCTTAATTTCTTTTGTTTTTCTCTTGAAATATAACAAAAAAATACTGAGTGGTGGGTCAATAAGGAGTATTGGTAAGAGTGCTGGCACTATTACAATCTTAACAATACCCATTCCTAGGCAACCTCATGGTGATGACAAGACTTGGGGAAGTTGCTGCTCCCAGTAGATGGTAGGCTGATTTTATGATCTTCACACACACAGACAGTCTTTGCTCTAAGATAAACTAATGATGTGATACATAGAATTTGCAGCATGGTTTTACTGGTTTTTATATTTATGAAACTGTGAACATCCTGGGATGCAAGAATTTAAGAGAAATTAAATCAACAGCAGCTCTATATTTAAAGGACAGACACAAGGATGGTGTCAGTTTAATCTAGCTCTCTGAAATCAGCAAATTTTCCCAAATATTGCACTATTGCTTTAAGTCTGGATTAGCTTGTTGTAGTTTGTTCCAGCAGGGTCCTCATGTCCAACATTGCATCCTCCACGACTCGGGCCAAATGAGCTGCAGTTTTTTCTTTGCTGGTATAGTGGGATTTATGAGCAGACACCGTAAACTCAATGTGATCGTCCTTAACACTGTAAAGCACTTCATATTTTCCAGGTTCATCAGGGCCATAACATGGCGAACATTCACCTTTGTTTATTACCTGGTGAACAGGGACAGAGGTGAAAATGCAGTTGTTAGTTACTGTTGTTGCACCGAGACCTGATATGGAATGATCTCTGATCTGTCAGGGTTAGTGTATACTTTAATGCATATCAACATGCAGGGCCACACTCTTTGGTTTGCCGATAAGTTCACAAAGAAACAAGTAACAGTTGAACAAATTACAAATATTCACTTTTTGCTCTGGTTGTACAGGTAGACTTTAGTCACAATCAAGGTAATTGTACTATGCCTTCTTATGATCGTGGCTCCAGCCACATACCCTGACTCCCCAGCAAAGAGTGTGGCACTTGTTTGCTAATCTCCCCAAATGTAGAGGTAACATCTGATNGAAAAGCACACAAAAGTTTATAGGGAGAACCTCGGCTGTCCATGATAAAAGTCACTGTTACCTAATGCTTTCAAGAAACTATAAGGATAGGAAAACAAAAACAAAAAACCGCTGTCCCTTTTATATAGCTATTCAGGCTTATCAACGTCTACACCTAGTGTGACAGATTTAAATCAAGATAGTAGTTTTAAAGGAGCTATATGTAAGAAATATAAAGCAAATAGTCATAAAATCCTCCTAATATGTCACAGAGACTAAGGAATAATGTTCATATAACATACTGATCTCACCGACAACAATAGTACAGCCAGAATATTTGCATCTAAAAATTTTTTTTTGCAGTCCGCAAATCATGTTTATGTTTTGAATTTGTGTTTTGGCCTGTTGCGCCACCCGCCGCCGTCTACCAGTCACGCAGTCAGTAGAGTCTCAGCATCAGTTACAGTTACGACTGAGCTACAGCAGCACGGCAAGCAGCATTAGCAGTGTCCCGGTACATAGCATTAGCAGCCGGCTCCTCAGCTGTGTCCCGGCAGCAGCGTTAGCAGCAGAGAAGCCGGACTTGCTCGAACGGTCCGCTGGAAAACTGAAGATCAAGGACGCGGCGACGCAGCCCTGCCACGGCAGCCGCCTGTGGGAAAACAAATCAGTCTCCAGCGTGCCGCTGTCCAGCAACCTTGAATCTGTAGGGGAGGGGGGGGCGGACATGACTCGCGGCAGTATTTTGAATTTGAGTGCAGTAACCATTTTGGCCAAATTCTTACATACAGCGCCTTTAACTGAGGAATTCAACAACAGTCTTACTGCCGTAACAAAGCGGGCAGCATCACTTTACCCAGGTTTTCTCCACACCAACAGCTCCATTTGCGGCCTCGGAATCCAGAAATGCAGAGGCTTTAGCAACATCTTCAAACGTGTAGCGCTCGCCAGCCCAATTTAGAGAGATCCTTGCTGGGTACAGCAGAAAAGCCTGGAAACCGGCCTTACGCGCCCTGTTCAGGACCAGGTAGCAGGGCTTGTGCTTTCTGGATGTAGCCTCGCTGTAGTCCGATGCAAACTTTATCTGATGACCAGCTACCTGCACTGGATGTCTTCGGGACTCATTGAGTATCTGATCCCGGTCAGTGCACCTCAGGCACTTTAAGATCAAAGGGCGGGGGTGAGAAGAGGCATCTCTGGGCGCACCAACCCTGTGCGCATGCATTATTTCTGGAGGTTGCTCAGCCAGCGCAGGATACCATTTTTTACCATGTTGGCCAATAAATATTGCCTGGCATTAGATGACTCGACTCCCTCCTTACGGGGCTGTATGTAAGAATGTGGCCAAAACGGTTACTGCACTCAAATTCAAAATACTGCCGCAAGTCGTGTCTGCCCCCCCTCCCCTACAGATTCAAGGCTGCTGGACAGCGGCACGCTGGAGACTAATTTGTTTGCCCACGGGTGGCTGCCGTGGCAGGGCCGCGTCGTTGATCTTCGGTAGCCGACTGCTAATGCTATGTACCGGGACACTGCTAATGCTGCTTGCCGTGCTGCTGTAGCTCAGTCGTAACTGTAACTGATGCTGAGACTCTACTGACTGCGTGACTGGTAGACAGTGGTGGGTGGCGCAACAGGCCAAAACACAAATTCAAAACATAAACATGATTTGCGGACCATAAAAATGTTTTTTTAAATGCGAATATTCTGGCTGTACTATTGTTGTCGGTGAGATCAGTATGTTATATGAACATTATTCCTTAGTCTCTGTGACATATTAGGAGGATTTTATGACTAGTTGCTTTAGATTTCTTACATATAGCTCCTTTAAGGTTAATCAACAGTAGTATATTATCTCTACGTGCTTGATCTTCAAGCTGGGTGAGTTTGTCCTCATATTTGGTCTGATATTGTGCACAATCTATCTGTCTCAAGTTTTATCACACGGGAGTCAATCTTCCCCACAGTGTCGTGCAATGATTTTAGCTGCTCAGCTTGGCGATTCAGAGTAGACTGCACTGTGTCAACTTTTTTTCCAGCCGACTGAATCGTTCTTTAGCGACATCATCTGCTTCTTGAAAATGTTTGGACAACACATTTTCAATGAATTTTGCAAGAGATGAAGAGTCTTTGCAGTCAAAAGCAGCGTCGGAAAGTTGGTTCATTGTTTGGCGTTCTCATGAGGCAACTCTCCTAGTGTGCATCAAGCGTGCAAAGTTTCACACTCTTATCTTAATAAATCCCAGGTATTGTTCATTTACTCACAGCAGTTCAGTTGAAAAGTCCCTTGCATTAGGACATTTAAATTATTTATGGACAGCTTGGAGAGCACAGTCGGCGTCAGTCACACCGGAAGCTGTCTCAAACTCCACAAATTCATTAAACAGCTCCCCCTGCCATAGTCAGACATATGATTGCTAATTAATGCCCTACTATGGCTCACAACTCATGGTAACAGCTGGAGCTCCTCCGGTGTGAGTGTTTTGCTGGTTAGTGAAACATTTTGGCCCTGAATTTTCACTGGCACTTACCAACCCATTGTGGTCTCTCACAAGGCATTCAAAAATAATTCCAAGCATGGCTGTTTTGGCTTCCTTGTTTAAAATACTTAAAATGTTTCATAAAATAAATTGTTCTTTTCTCCTATCCTCTTGAATGTCTGATAGCCCACCACTAACATTATAGTCCCAACTTGTCTCATCAACAAAAACAAAACATACATTTCATCACATTTTTTATTATCACAGATCTAAGTTGAACTTGTCTACATTTGGTCTTAGGGAAAAGGGTCACTGATGAACATCTACTCATTATAGTTTTTTATTAACAAAATGAGCACAGAGTTTAATACAGTACATGTAAGAAAATAAAACAGTGTTAATTATAATAATAGTTAATAATAGTTCTTAATTTCTTTTGTTTTTCTCTTGAAATATAACAAAAAAATACTGAGTGGTGGGTCAATAAGGAGTATTGGTAAGAGTGCTGGCACTATTACAATCTTAACAATACCCATTCCTAGGCAACCTCATGGTGATGACAAGACTTGGGGAAGTTGCTGCTCCCAGTAGATGGTAGGCTGATTTTATGATCTTCACACACACAGACAGTCTTTGCTCTAAGATAAACTAATGATGTGATACATAGAATTTGCAGCATGGTTTTACTGGTTTTTATATTTATGAAACTGTGAACATCCTGGGATGCAAGAATTTAAGAGAAATTAAATCAACAGCAGCTCTATATTTAAAGGACAGACACAAGGATGGTGTCAGTTTAATCTAGCTCTCTGAAATCAGCAAATTTTCCCAAATATTGCACTATTGCTTTAAGTCTGGATTAGCTTGTTGTAGTTTGTTCCAGCAGGGTCCTCATGTCCAACATTGCATCCTCCACGACTCGGGCCAAATGAGCTGCAGTTTTTTCTTTGCTGGTATAGTGGGATTTATGAGCAGACACCGTAAACTCAATGTGATCGTCCTTAACACTGTAAAGCACTTCATATTTTCCAGGTTCATCAGGGCCATAACATGGCGAACATTCACCTTTGTTTATTACCTGGTGAACAGGGACAGAGGTGAAAATGCAGTTGTTAGTTACTGTTGTTGCACCGAGACCTGATATGGAATGATCTCTGATCTGTCAGGGTTAGTGTATACTTTAATGCATATCAACATGCAGGGCCACACTCTTTGGTTTGCCGATAAGTTCACAAAGAAACAAGTAACAGTTGAACAAATTACAAATATTCACTTTTTGCTCTGGTTGTACAGGTAGACTTTAGTCACAATCAAGGTAATTGTACTATGCCTTCTTATGATCGTGGCTCCAGCCACATACCCTGACTCCCCAGCAAAGAGTGTGGCACTTGTTTGCTAATCTCCCCAAATGTAGAGGTAACATCTGATTAATTACCTTCCCTATCTTCTTTTGCCCTCTTGCTCTCTCCCTCACCCATATTCTTGAAGCTGAAAACCAACTTGACCTGACATTCACCAGAAAGTGCTCTCCCACTAACCTTTCTGCTAAGCCTCTTCGCGTCCCTGACCATTTCATATCTTACCCTCCCTCTCTCTCTTAAACTACCAAACATCTCTCTTCCACTCATACTGTCCCTATGCACCACAACCATTGCTTCTTGCTGAGGCACTAAACTTGGTTAGCTGCTCCTACTGCCCAACCACCTGCCCTCTTGACCCTTCCCCTTTCCCACCCTTCCCCTCTCACCTTCTTCAGTCTATTCCTTCTGACCTCCTTCCTCTCCTCATCCACCTCATGAACACCTCTTTGAGGTCTTTTTTCTTTAAAAAGGTGCACACACTTTCTTTTACTTTTACACATAAACTGAAAATTCAACTGCTTTCATCAACATCCACTGTCTTACATCCAAACTGAAACAAAGACAGACTAAAATAGCTATTTCCCCCCCCAAAAAAACACAGATTTTCAAAAAACAGTCTCCAGAGTGGATAAGTTTCCAAATACTGGCAGCCTTGTCAGTGGGGGCAGGGACTCTGTGACAATAAAGTTAATAAAACAACCCTTCCCCTTTAACTTCCTCTGTGATCTCTCATTTTATGAATTGAGCAAGTACAATTACATGTGAAAAGTGGTAGGTCTTTGGGCACATAGACTCTATTTGCAACCCCACCTTTTTGGGGCTAAACAGCTGGATGAATTTATGTACTGGAGCACACAAATATGAGATTTGTTGCAGAGTATTAAGTAATGGCTATCTTTTGTTGCAGTATTGTGGTATTTTCATTTTCATGTCTCAGCTTCAATACTTACAGAACTTGTTCCAAGTTTGCAGTCAAAGACTTTAAAAAGGGAGGGGTCTGTAAAGATTTCAGGCATGGGGATGTCTTCTTCCTCAGCCTGCGTCCTCAGACCATAGAGATGGCAAGACACGTCCTGGCCTCTAAATGCCTATTGGAAAGGAGATGCTGTTGTTTACAAAGTCGATCACCACATGTAGTATTAAAGGTACCCTGGCAATTTTACTTGTAAACAAAGATTCTTTTTTTCACAAAATCTCCATGTTTGCCCTTAAGGTATAACAAATATGTGAAATGCAATTCCTTACTCCTAAAACATTTCCAGGCCTGGATTTTCCTCAGAGTTTGAAAACTGCACTATATACAATCACAAACTCCTTGTGCACAAGAATGAATGACAAGGTGACCCACATATACAACATTGCTCCATAGCACTAATAGTGGTCAAGAACTTCACAGGGTACCCTTGAGCTCCACAGGGAGAAACTGACTAGGACACTGAAAGTAAGGCTGCCCCCTGATGTCAAAGATTCCAATCATCAGTCTGAGACCCCTCAATCGACTCCCCTTTTCTTGTGTGTAGGTTGGAGGGGTGACATTTGATCCCTAGATGTAGCAGGGTAAAATCATTACACTACATTAAGTTATCCCGTCACCTCAGTGAGGATTTCTGCTATGGGTCTAGGTAGCAGCAGACCCAAATTCAGGGTGAGTCTGAGCGAGAAGAAGGCAGCTGCCCAAAGGAAGAGAAGCTTTACCCAGTCAGGCTCTGAGATAACTTTATCTTCTACTTACTGCTAAGAAGTGGTCTATTTGCAGCCCACAGACAATTAATACTTTGTAGTATCTGGCTTTTATTTTATATGTAGTGTTGGCAACTATCTATATTATGTGACACACAAACACATACACACACACACACACACACACACACACACACACAAACAGATGCACACACACACACAAACAGATGCACACGCACAGGCAGCTTTTTTTTACTGTCTTTTTTTGTAGTTATGCACAGATGTTATGGAATATGGAGAGTGGAAATAGACTCAAATAGACTATTGGAATTATTTAATTTGTTGTTAGAACATGGAGTATAGACACTCCCTTTGACAATTAGTTAATTGCTGTAGCTGATATCATGTAATATGTGTCAGCAGGTATATAGGCATGGAGCTGTCATCAAGTTGGCATTCTTTTTGTTCGTCGATGTATTTTTGTTTTGTTTTGTTTTTGGACCTCTTGACATTAAATTTAAGTTGTTTTTCATGTCTTTTATTTTTCGTCAACCCAGGTTCATTCCAAAGAACACAGCATTGAGGAAGCCACAGTAGGCTTCTGTCACATGAGGCTGGGACAAAGGAAGGGCTTTTTGGATCAGTTTCATTGGTCACTCAGCCCTTCAAACATCTTGAGTAGGAGAGATCACTTTCAGCGCCAGCAGCATAGTAATAAGGCGGAGAGAAGAAGAGAGCAATGGATGTAGAAAGCTCCCCTCTTCCCTCGCTGCCTCGCTGTTGGCGTTGATATTTCTGTTGGTAATGTGAAAAATATTTTGATTTTAACAAATCATATTTCTCAAGAGCATATTCCCTTCTCCTATCCACCTCAATGGTTTCCCCATGATGTGTCACTGAATTCAGATCATTTTCCTATGATGTTTTATGCCTGCCCAGTGCCAAGCACACATACACCTCTGCCGCCCTCATCCCAACTACAGTAAAGGAGGAACTGGGCGAAGAGCTTACACAAGTGTAATCAGCCTTACCCTGTGACATTACAACACTGTGTCCATTTATAAATGTCATACTTGGTGTGATGATGTAAAAACTAATAATAATTAAAATACGCATCAGCCTATATGGTGCCTTTGGTTAACATAAAAAAAATCCCCATTGTGGCTGCAATATTGTCGTGCACACACAATTTTCGCTAAGCATCCATGTATAATTCTCCTTCCTGATCTCTACAGGAGATGAAAGGATTAAGCACAGTGACATGCTGTCAGCTGCATGTCCACCAGCCGTGATGCGTTCACAGACCTCACCTTCAGCTCAGAATTTTCCATGTTAATGTGAACTATTCAGAGACCTCGCCACTGGCTCAAAATTTTCCATATCAGCCTTCCAGTCTTCTGTTTATGAGAGGTCTGGCTGGGGGAGGGCTGAGACAGAAATTTACAGCTTTTAGGCTGCCTCCACAGAGCTCATCCCTTCACCAGGTTGTTCGGGGAGTGGGGATGCAACTGTGAGTTAACAGAGCAGATGGACAGGACATTGAGTCTGGGCTATTTTTTCCAGTTCTGCCATGTTCCCTCTCTGTTCATGGGCATCGTCAATCTATTCTCCAGGGAGGACACAGATGACCTCTCAGTAGAGATCCAGGTCCTGTTACAGAAACAGGAAGTCAACCCCACTCACGGAAGACAGATAGGGTTTACTCTGCGTACTTCCTGGTTCCCAAGTAGAAAAGAGTGGTCTGACCCATTTTGGATTCCTTCATCTCAAACCGATGCATTGACTTCAAGACATTCTGTATGCCTACCATTAAGCAGTTACTGGAACTAGTTCAGATGGGTACTTGGTTCACCAATGTGGCTCCTAAACAGGAAATTCTTTCATTTCACTTTTCAGGGCATAGCCTATAGTTACAGCAGACTGCCATTCTGTTTTTCCTTGGAGCTCTGCACCACAACAAATGTGTTCTACATAGTCTTATTGATCTTACAACTAATGAAGTTGGGGTTCACAATAAAGTGGAGGAAGAGCAGTCCCCTACCACACCAACCTGGTGGTACCACTGGGCCAATTGCATATTCTATGCGTACAGACAAGGGCGAAAATCCCATTTCATAGTTGGGGGGGACAATAAACAGTAAAATTTTAGAGAATAATAACAGGGAGGGGACAAGGAGAAAAAGTTGTAGCCTGTCTTTTATACAGCATCTTTTACCGCAGTTTGACACTTTGATCTTTTCTCTGTCTCTCCAACAGACAGGCATAGGACCTTCCTTAGCACTGGCTGAGTCCACCTGCACATGTCCAGATTTAAAACAAAATGATTGAAATCAAATTAACATGTACACATCGACAACAGTCAGGTGTGCCATGCTGTCCAAGGTGCTGAGTGTGTCTGGAGCAGAGCAGGTCTCTGTCTCCCCGTGCGCAGTAGTGTGAATATTTATGCTATTAAGTAAACAGAGAAAACATGTATCTCATTGTTCATATCTCATAATAGCAGCAAAACAATAAGGCTTCATTCATCAAAGACCGAAACTCGATCTCTCTCCTTCTCTCCCTCTTTTTCATCTGGCTCAGGTGTGTGGAATGGAATTCGTCTCTTGCTGGCTGCAGGAGCAAACCGTTTTGTTTGTTTTTTTCGTTTTTTTACCGGCAGTGAGATAAACATTTCCTGCAATTAAACTGGCGAACTGGTTTATAAACAGTGCGCTGTGAGATCTGCCGCTGTGCACCTTAGAACCGTGTGTGATAATCGCGCGAAATGACCGCTCCTCATCAGTTAAACTGCACGTCTCTCATGTGTGTCTCACTGACAGGTGGAGAGCCTACAGATATTAACTACGAGCCGCTCCGTCACTGACTGCTCTTGTCCTGTCCTCTCCCTCTTCTTTCTCTCCTGTCCTCTCTGACTATCACTAAACTCTGGCTTTTGAACAATGCAGGAGAAATGTTGCAGACAGTTTATATTATCAGCCTGGGCCTGGGGCTTGTTGTAACAGTAAATGGGATGTGTTGTAACTTGTGTAAGTTAAACTTTATCTGCGAGTGAACATCTTACCCGTCATGCGCAATGTGGGCAGCCACACACTACTACTGCTGCCAAGTACTAACGGCTGCTAGCCCCGCCCATTGGAAAGAGTGTGGGATATACCACTACTAGGAATGGGAGGGGGGGACTAAATCTTTTAAGATTTAAATAGCACATTATCGTGCAATTATAATGAGCACCGCTTACATTGTGCTTTTAATAAATACTACTGCATTGTTCAAAAATTATTAATTGTGTCTCAAATTATTCTAGGGGGGTACAGCTTTATTGAAGGGGGAGTCATGTCCCCCTTGTCCCCCCCGGGATTTCCGCCCCTGCCTACAGAGGTGGCTTGCCAGCCTTCGCTTGGATACCAAGAAGCACAAGTAATACTTGGTTACCATTCCCCTCTCAGCAGAGGATGACCTGTGATACTATGGGTCTCCACAACACCTGTTGCAGGGAACATTACTGGGATGAGAGATCACCTACAACATGGTGTTCACAGATGAGTCCCTTAGGGATGGGGTGGTACCTGCCTAAAGAGAGTGGTAGGTGGTGTGTGGCCTCCGAGGGGGGTCCGACACATTAGTCTACTCAAGCTACAGGAAATGTATTTAGTCCTCCAACACTTTATGCCCCTCACACAAGGGAGGGACATATTGGCGAAGACCAACATTAGTGCCACAGTAGCCTACATTAACAGGCAGAGTGGATTTTCATCCACTGCCCTTTTGAGGATGCGCACCTGTTGTTTCAGAAGGCCCTTCCACGCTGCAGGACCACAGAACAAGGGTGCCGACATCACGTCAAAGGGCTTAACCCTACCAGACCAGTAGAGGCTTCACTTCGAGGTGGTGAAACAGTTTGGACCCAGTTCAGAAAGGCGGAAGTGCATCTGTGTGCCAGCCGGTGCAACACCCACTGACCACTATAATTCTACCTGGCACCGCAAGACGAACCACCCCTCTACTTCTGTGGCCTAGGTAATAAAGAAGTAGGCAGTGACTAACCTTTAGCCAGACAGGATCAGTGTGGCTGGGTTGATGTTGCAACAAGTTTATACTGTGTGGTCCACATGTATGTGCATGCTCACAATTGGAGGAGAGAATTCCCATAGAGACCAGAGGGCTCTGTCTGTGCTAATAGAACTGGGGCTACAAAATCACAACTTTTACTGTCATTACTGAAAGGCATCCTTACACCAAAAATAAAGTGGACATACATTGAACTGTATTTGGCAGTGCTGTGAATGACACTCACCATGTCAGTGTACCATGCATGTGTCTTTAAAGCTTTATCCAATAAAGCAACCTTCTCTGGGTTCTGTGCAAAACAGGAAGAAGACAACAATGTTACAAATAATCATTTGGTGGTTAGTGTTTTTTGAGCGGGACTGCTGTGCAGGAATAGTATGATATAAAGCAATCTATGGCAGTATCTCTGACATTAACACATTTTTTTCATTACGCAGAGTTATAGTTGCATAAAAATTTCCCTGTATTTTGACCTGTATAATGGGGTCATCAAAGGCTTTGACAAAGGCAGCTGAGGCAGGCGAGTTTGTATTCATCAAACTTATACGTCCTAGTTTGAACGCACGCAGGGAGACATATTCCAGTGATGGACAGATCTGCTGGTACATCCTGATAAAAGAAAGGAGAGACATTTTTTCAACAAGTTCTGTGTTCCACCATACACAGCCCTGAAACTTATTTACCACTCAAACAAATACTGGAGCTCTAAACACTCTTACTAACTATCCATTAACTTTTACCTGTAGTAAGCCAGCTTCAGCGCCAACTGTACGAAAGCATTAGGACGCATCTTGTGAGCCTTTATGAAGGTTTTCCCAAAGTGGTCAAATCCCGTAAAGCTCAGATCCAGATCGTCAGCCAGTCTGTGGTGGTGGAAATGAGACACGTGAGACTTTCCTTGGTTAGTTTGACAGTTTTTTTAAGTATTTGGCAGCATTATGCTGATTGATAAGTATAAGTTATGTATAATATACATTTTTTATTCTGTTCATATCAGACTGATTTTTTTGCTCCCTTTCTCGTGACAGGGAATTACTGTACAGCCGTGATGATCAGCAGCTTCTGTTTACTCACACTACTGTTTCTCACAACGTTACGCTTTAAACAGCCTCTTAAGGACAGTAATGTCAGCTGAGATGGCCTGCAGTCCCATGGGTCTCTAAAGCATAGTTTATTTGGTCATGACTTTCCCGTGGAAGTTATTATTTGAAAATTTTTAAAGTGTGGGCCCTGGATGTGAAAAAACATCAGTTCTAATACAGGGCTTTTTTAGGGTTATTGTCATATCATATTTCATATCTCTTAGGTCACATTTGAAGCCCTTTTTCTGTAGTATTTATAGGCTGTTCTAATTGTGAAAATGGAGTTGCTGTTGTAGGAGCTGTCCACGTAGCAACACATGTAATTGAAAATTACTTCATGTTCCTCTGGATTTCTGTTGTTCTGGTCATTGGGTATCTGTGTAACTGTCACAACTAAAAGCTGCTCTCACGCGTCCATTTGCTGCTTAGCCTCCTCAATGTCCTTCTTGATCTCAGGTGTGAGGTTGAAGTGTAATTTCTGGGGCATGGGTAAAGGCTCCATGGGGGACCGTATCACCTCTGGCTTTTTCCTGTTTTCACACACAAGAGACAATCAACCAATCAATCAATCAATCACTTTGTCAAATGAGAAAATACAATTTTAGTGAAATATCATTTGTCAGTTTCATTAATTTGTGCACAAGATTATGATATTGGGCGGTCTTTGGCAGGGTCTTCATTTAGGATCCTTGTGGACTGAGGATAGAAGCTCTTCCTGAGCCTCTCAGTGCTGGCTTGGAGTACCCGGTTCCTACTTCCTGATCTCGGCAGTGAGAAAAGGCAGTTATTCAGGTGGCTGGGATCTTTAATGATTCTCCTAACTTTATTTTTGCAGGCCCTGGTATAAACATTCTTAAAAAGGGCAGAGCAGCACCTATTTTATGTTTAGCTAAACAGACCACTCTTTGCAGGGCCTTGTGTGTAGGGCCTTGTGGTCCTGTTCCGTGATATTTTCTTTACTATGCATTGATGTTCCCTTATCAGGACGCTTTCAATGGTGCAGGAGTAAAAATTCCTCAGTATTTGATGGGATGGTCACAATTTCCTCAGTCGTCTAAGGTAGAGCAGTCTCTGCCTTGCCTTTCTCACCACAGAATCAGTGTGCAATGCCCAGGTCAGGTTATTACTGATGTGGAAATCAAGATCCTTTCTTCTGTCCAAAGATTACTTTCAGGTCCTTTGTCTTATTGATGTTCAATTGTGATAAATATGTCAGGTCTCTTCATTAACATCTTCATGAGTTTTTATCATAAAAACATTAAAATATATTGACAGAAACCCTGTAGCATGTCATTTGACTCTTACAGTAACAGTAAACAGTAAAAACCAACAATGTTGCTTCAATCTAGGTGATAAAAGGATGCTGGCATAAAATTACGAATTGTGTGAATTCACAAGTTATTTTACTACTCTGTTCATTTTGAAAAAAATGATGCAGCATATTTAAACTTAAGAACTGCATTGTTGTACACTGACACTGTCCCATTATGAAGAATACATAGAAATCACTTCAGTTTTTGGGCAAATCAATGTGAAATGAATGTTACAGATTAAATGATATCTGTGATAAATACCAACACACTAATCACAATAACTTCAGCAAATCAGGAATAAGCATAAAAACATAATTCAAAGTCCATACGTTATTCATATGCAAGTAAATGAATGCTACCTGCAGTTTCATCAAAGGCTTTTTTTTTAGCCAGCGTGAACAAATGGACCAGAGAACAGTGCAAACACACTCAGCAGTTCATTAAGATCAACAATAACCTTGCAAATAAAATAAAACAATATTTTTGCTCAGATTTTCCCCATCAAAAAATTTGACTAAAAGTATTGACAAAAATTGATCTAAAATGTCCAGACTTTTCATCAACTTTAGCTGGACTAAAATGATGAAGGTTAAAAATGACTAAAATGTGACTAAAATTAATGAGCATGTCCATCTGAAGACTAACTGCTGCAATACATGGGACATGGATGTGGCACAACACGTCTTCTGCAGCACGCCCGCAGCAGAGCTCATTCATTATAATTAACTGAAGCTGCTACAATGACCATGGAAGCCATACTTTCCCGCATGGGACTCCCACTCAGCCTTGCTTTTACGTGGCTATCTTTTTTTAAATCTGCACAGGTCAGGGGCCATTTTAATGAGTGAAAACTTCTTAAAAGTGCATAACAATGAGCACAATCTGTTTAATAAAGACTTTTACACCCCCCTTGCTTTAGCAGGGCCTGCTGGGTGTGTTTTCCCCTTGTATGTCTGTGGGTGTTTCTCAATGTCAAGGAAGGATCCACAAACGGCAGAATTTGAAGGACGTTACGTCATCGACCCTCGCCAAAGGACTGTTCCAATGTCAAGGATCCTTCCGAGTTTCACGAAGGACTGAGTCCTTCTTTCAGAGAAATTCGAAGGATGCATTTGTGGATCCTCCGTGGGTATAGAATCCCAACAATGCTTTGCACAGTAAACGATTTGCTGGAAGTGAGGGCCTCTTCAATGAAACCTGCGCCAGTGGAGCTTGGCAGGATTTACATAAACATGTCATTTATTTGGATTAATGTCTCCATGAGTTTTTATCATGCAAGCGTGAAAAAAATATTGACAGAAACATCATAATTTACACTTTCTAATGTGTCCACTGCTGAATAATGACATTTTTTTTAAATACTGTGATTTAGATAAAACCATAAAAGTGTTAAATGAATCGTTCACAGCAGAGATGGAGCACTAAGTGAGAGCTGCGCAGCTCATCAGATCTGCTATTCATATTACTGTAGTGGTGTGTGGTGACACACACAGAAAATATGTATTAAAAAAGGATCACTGTTAAATGACTGATTCTGTGTGTGAGTCTGTTTATATACTGTAAATGATAATTTAGAACTTTTTCAGCTGTAGTCTTTACTCCATTACTCGACTTACTCTTAAATATGATCCAGAAATATATTCTTCCTAAAAGTCACATGATTCTGACAATACTGATACATGTGTTTAAAACTGTTCAACAACATTACAGAGTGCCAAAATTATCACAGTAAATGAAACCCCCTCAGTCTGCTGAGGGTTAATGATGATCACATGGGGACACTTGTTAGCCTGTTCCAATGTGTGTTCACTGAATGCTAGGGAGGACTCTTGTATTGCCTCTGCAGGATCCTTCCTAAACACTGGAAGGTGTGCCCCAGCACGTCCAACAGCTACAGACCAATAACCAGGGGTATGGTGTTATTTGTTTATGTACCAGAGCATTGTATGTATTGTAGTCATATAGGTAGTTGCACAAAGACAGGAATCATTCCACCTGTCCATGCTACAGCAGGATGCAGTGATTTAAATCTCTATCTGTACAATCTGTCTCATATTAAACTTTTAATTATTGAAACAGCAAATCAAAACATCTATACTTACACGATTGCTGAAAAATGTTCACACACGGACGCGTGGACGATACCATCAGCAACTGTACACATGAAGTTCAGACCGCATGTCCCATCTTCTCCAATAATTAACTGAAAAAAGGATAAAAACACAATCAGCATTAAATTCCTGATCCTTATGAGTCTGTTTGGTCCTGTGTGGTCCTAGTGTCTTCTGACAAGAAGGGAAACTTAGGGTGACTAAAAAGTCATGAATTATTTTCAAAATGACTCAACCAAAAACAAAACCTGCTGCTGTGCCACTCTCTGTTGTATCCTCATTTTGTAATTTCCAGTTCTGTCTTACACTACAGTCCTTGCCATTGCTAACTTTACCATTAGTGGATAGAAATAAACAGTCCCCATGACTCAGGATATTGTAGTAGGCATTGCTAGCACAGTGACGAAGACCTGATCTTTTCCCCGGTTTTAACACCTGCAAACACAATCTGTCTGGTTTTGTTTGCCCTCACTGACTGGCTACCTGGTACTGACCTCCGCTCTAAAAACTGAACAAGGAAATGTCTTTTTAACTTCAATGGATCTTACTTTTTCACATCTGGGCACAGAACTGTTTTGGCAAGCCTATACTGCTGCACTCAAAGAATTACAAAGGGGGCAGTGTGCTCTTTAACTCTTGCTTTTACTTTATATCCTGTTCTTGTTTGTACAAGCTGAGCAAGGAGTTGGTTACCAATATCCAGCAACTTCACACAGCCATTGGAGAGAAGTGGGCTAACATTCCAATGGCACAATCAACAAACTGATCAACTCTATGTGAAGAAGATGTGTTGCACTACATGAGGCAAATGGTGTCACACCAGATACTGATTGATTCTTTGGGGTATCTGTGACAAAAAAAAAAAAAAAAATGCATTTCTGTAGTGCTAGTCATATAAAATCTTAATTGTTTTTTTCATTGTGACCATCTCAAGGCACACCTTAGCTTTAAGCTGCTGTTTAATCACCATCTTGGTATACACATCTGTCAGGGGGATTGGAAAAGGGGAAGTGCCTACTAATAAGGATTTAACACATTTGCAACCAAAAATGTGAGTGTATCTATTGAGTGCATTAAGAAAGTTTTATATATTTTAACTTAACCCGGTGAAAAATGGGAGCAGAAACAGAACGTTGCAGGTCAGTTTTTGTTCAGTGTAGTTATGCTTTTGTTGAACATTGTTCCCACTCAATCAGTAAATCAATATGTTGCCTATTTTCCACAGAAGTTGAGATGGGGCTGAAAGAAGAAATCCTTGGTACTGATATCACTGCCATTATAAGACAATATGAAAAAAGCACAATATTTAAAAGAAAAAAAGTTTAATATCAAGAAAAATAGTGAGAGCAACAAAGGCAGAGATTGAAGTAGAAAACAGTTGAACAAATCATAAATATCTGTTTGTGTGTGTGTGTGTGTGTGTGTGTGTGTGTGACAGAGGTAGTTTTATACCTGAAACATTTGGAAGTTTAAATCTGTTAACAATTGAAACAGTAGAGATTGTGGTTTCAAAAAGAGCTATAAAGTGATGCACCAATCAGAAACAGGCAATAAGTGATGGAGGTCTAATCAGCTGATCAGAATCTGCTATCTGTATCCAGGCATGAATATTCAGTTGATCTGCTGACAACACACAAGTACTACTTGAAAAGACATCCAAATTCAAAAACTGTGAGGTGTATTGCTGAAATGTCTTCACTTTGAGCATCCCAATACTCTGCTCAAGATGTTGACATGTCATTTGTCCTAGTGCTTAAATGGGCATATCACCTGAAAGAAGAAAAAAATATCTATGTTTTGATGTATAAATTGTGTATGAAGAGTAGAAATTGTGAGCATTACAGGAGTTTAAGTTACTTTTTTTCTTTGTAAAAACAGAGAGGCAAAAGGGTGTTAGAGTGGGGGATGTCTTCAGTTACGTCACCTACTTCAAGCAGTGCCATACACACCTATAATTAACTCAGAAAAGGTCTGAAAACAGCATAAACCTGTGATAATATACAATATAAAAATTGCCAAAGATATCAAAAAACTGAATGATAGTTTATTAGTTCAATCTTGTAACCTGTTCAAAGTGTCAGTGAAGTCTGTATCTGTATCTGCAGAAGCAGATATTAAGTTATTTATAAAGTTGAGTGTCATAAGGTTTTAGCGCAGGTCAAGGCTATTTTGTCCAGCACCCTGGCAAAAGCTGCAGACTCTAATTCACCAATTGCTCTGGTTGTGGTTTCAAATGATGTAGGGATCAGAGCTGTCCTCCTTTGATGTAAATTTTCTTGTGTCGACTGGAGCATGGTTTATTTTAAATTTTGGGTCAAACACTGGGCTCAGGGTCACCTCAGGGTCATACACACCAAATGTGGTGATTTTTTGTATTTATTTTTGTAATTTGCAATTATTTGTTTGCTTTGGAGATGTTCTTTGTGGAAACAGGTTTTAAAGCCTTTGGAAACACAGCTTGAAATAGTAAAAATGCATATATTATATCAAAGTCGAGTGTCTCATTAATCATCCACAAAAGTCTGAGTGAAAATAACCATTCATAACTATTAGAAAACCTGGTGTAAAAACAGCTCATTTTGCTGTTTAGTAGGGCCGTAACGGTACATGTATTTGTGTCGAACCGTTCGGTACACGACTTTCGGTTCGGCACGACCCTGTACCGAATTATTGGGCGCAGGATATTATTTTATTTTATTTTGTTTTATTTTAATTCCGTTTTTGCAAGCCGAACCATTTAAAATATCTAGTTCCCCAACAGACATATTTGAGTGAAGGACCGAGTCCCGTAAATCTCCGCTTTCACTTTGTGCGGCACATTCTCGCATTTTCACAACATGGCAAGTGAGCCTGACGAACCTGAAGACCCACCCGCAAACCTTAAGTCCTCCATTTGGGAACACTTTGGTTTCAGCGTAAAATATGAAGATGGAAATAAACAAGTGGACAAGACAAAAGCAGTGTGCCGACACTGCAGAACAGCGGTCGGGTATGTACTTGGAAACACGTCTAACATGCTAACGCATCTAAAGCGACACCACCCGAGTTTGAACGTTAACTGGCACGACTAGAAAAAAAGAAAGAGCGTTTCCCTGACCATCGCGCTTAAAGAAATAACCACCACCACTGGAGTTGAGTAAAATTGTTTAAGCTGCACTTTAGATATAAGCATGTTTTGTTTACTGCACTTTAACAAAGTGGGAAAGCTAAGTAAGTTCCTAGTAAAACTGAATCTGAGCAGGCTTTAAAGCTGACCAGCTGCACTATACTTTCTATTTTAATTGAGTAAAACTGTTAAAGCAGAAATGTATATTTATATTTTTCATTCAAAAAATGTGTTGAAAAAACAGCAGGATTTTATTTTTCACTTTTATATTTCTATTTTCATTCAAACAATGTGAAAAAGCAGGATTTTATATATATTTGTTTCATTCAAAAATTGTGTAAAAAGAGTTAACTGCTGTGGTGGTATGTTTTAATAAGGTTACCAATAAGTAAAAGATATTTAATAGTTGTCTATTTTTTTCATTACTGTACCGAAAAAAACCAAACCGTGACTTGTGTACCGAGGTACGTACCGAACCGAGATTTTTGTGTACCGTTACACCCCTACTGTTGAGACCACTTGCCAGGATAGAGTGGCCGTGGCAGATAACGCTCTGATTGACAGCGCCCTCGTTTTGATTGACATCTCCCTGGCTCAGCAATGGCTGCCACAAATTTAATCCAGCTGTACATGTTTGAGCCCTCTGATGATTCAGAGGATGAAACAGAAGCCCTGCCAGCTGAAAATGATTCCTTTCAGGTGGTCACTGAATGGTAAGTTTCAAAATGTTTTGTGATTCATATTAATGTTACTTCGTAGAATAGTTAGCATAACTTTTACATGCAATGTTAGCTGAGATGAATGACAACGGAAGGCTAGCGCTTTGCCTTTCTTCATTGAGATACGTTTTCATTGGAAACATAAATCTGCTCCGTTTTTCTGATAATAGCCTTTTTCATTCAAACACATCCAGTCTTAATAGATTAAATATGTCTTTACTCTGACACACACACCGACCGTCAAAGCGGGAGAGACCGGCACCGGCCAGCCGGCCGTCTCTCTGGTGTTGTGTAGAAGTATTTGCCCGCCTAGAATAATGTTCCCCTCTGGCTAAAATTGTATTGTTTCCCGCAGCATCACCTCCGCGATTGGGGATATGTTTATGCGTAGCAAAGCTAACTGCTTGGGGTTGGGGTTAGGGGTGAGGAAGGGTGCACATTACGTCCCCTCCCCGTGAGCCGACACCGGCACTGGGCCCGAGGGACAAGCCGCCTCTTCCTGCAGCTCCACGAGCTGCAAAGGCTCGGATTGTCCAGGCTCTGGAGCCGGTCAACCTGATTCGAGTGCTACTGGGAGCCCACCAGAGGCAGAGCCTCCGCTGGGTCGCAGCCGAGCAGTTCAGCCAGTTTACGATCTGTATTTTCTAAGCATCAGACTAGAAAGCTGTTTGTTGGCTCAGACTCAAAGAGGCAGATTTAGCTGGAGCAGAAAGGTGTTGTTGCACTGCCACTGGGGGGCGGGATGAGACAACTGATGGATGATTTATATTGGTTTGGCATTTATTGTGTAATAAATCTCAGAGATAACCATGGCCAAATCAAGCCCAATTTCAAGAATGTACAAAAACTTAAAAGACAGATATTTTGAATTTGGATGGAAACTGATTTCTAATTGTTTTTACATGTTTAATATTATGTACATAAGACCCTAAATTACATAGTGAGAAGGCTATTGTGGATTTGGGTTTCCAGAAGCTTTAACACTTTGTAAGTCAGGAAGTGTTTTGTTAACAATTCTATTGAGAAATGCATTCTGTATTAAAACATGTCTGTAATATTTGTAATATCACCTGAAGCCCCTTGTCAAACCAACGGTTTCCACTGTTCCGCTGGCTGCCTCCTCCATGCAGCATCTGACGAAAAGAACTACTGCGATACTTCTCATTAGACTCTGAGGGCATCGCTCCATCCAGACACACTGAAAAGATGCTGCTTTGGATAGCCAGCACCGACTCTTTGTTGGTCTCATCTAAACACAGCAAGGACATGCACACAGAGCAAACTTTGTGTTATAATGTAATCAGACTGCAACACTTTAAGGAGGGGAGAGCTGTATGATAAAATGGGAGAACTGTCATGATGATGTTAAGATATGAAAAATACTGAATTGTGTTACCACTGTAACTCATTGTACCTTAAAATAACTCAAAGATGGCCCCCAGTGCTCCCCCTTTAAAATAAGCAACTGTACACTTTAACTTCTGAGGAAAATATTTTACCACTACATCTACCTGACAGATAAATGTTACTGGTTATGTTGCAGATTCAGATTTTTACTCATTTTTAATCACTCAGATTTTACTTTCGAAATATGATTCATTAATAGTTCAGTTCAAATTATCCAGCACTATATAAAAATTAAATCTTGAACAAACTTGAAGTACATTTAGGTAAATTGTGCAGGGTTTTGACTAGGCCTGTTTTTCCTACAACTGCCAATAGCCTACCAGCATTCTCAGAGGAAGGCTGAAAATAAAACAGGGCAGTTTGCCTGGGGGTCCCAGGCCCCCAGATCACTAAATCCGCCCCTGGTAATAATAATAAAGGCACAGCAAAGGGCAGGCTGGGTGAAAGGACAGACATGGAGTAATGTGTCCCCATATATATGAACAATTCCATCCAAGGAGGTGGAGGGGTCCAAGAAGTTGGCTCCTAAGTTCATCGGACTCGTGCCTTTGCCCTATGATGTAAAGGTTTCACCACTGGAAGGCAAGGATTCTCTCTCCAAGGCCTCATCTTCCCTGTCAGTGGAAGACATCAATGTGGAAGGACTGTCCTTGGACGAAGATGGACTTGGTATCGACTCTGCCTGTCCCTGACTCTTCTACTTAGTCTTTGTGGATTGCTTCGTTGTGTGGCTGCACACTTCGCTTTTGTGTGTGTGCCCTGCAGAATCCACGTGTCATCACTGCTGTCAAGCTCTTTTCTGTCCACAGCTGGCTTCGCATTGGAGAGACTGTTTTCTCAGTAAGTACTTGTGGTTTTGGAACCTCAGCTACTCTGACATCGCTCTCCGCCTGCCCCCTCTTGTTACCATTGCACACTAGTGAACTGTCTGCTGTGTGTGTGCGCCTGGTGGATGCTAGCATCTCCCCTGTGTGCTGCTTCAGCATTCCATGCAGAAAAGTGCGGACAGATCCTATTCCCCTGGGAGCTCTGAAACTGAACATTGACTCTCTGTTGCTTCACCAGACTGCGCTCCCTGTATTTATTGAAGTGGTGTATTAAAGCTCATTATAAACTGTTCGGCTTGTCCCTGCTGTTGCTTTTCAGTCCAATCTCAATCAGAGAATAGTTAGAGATGAAATGCCATGGAATCACATACTCAGCTGTCTTCTACAGTCAAAGTCATTCACTACATTACAAGATTGTTCGACTCTGTTGCTGTCACAGTGTTTGCCTTGGTGTTGTGAGAGTGTGAGACAGAGCCTAAAAGTGTGAGACGGTCAGGTGCGTGAAAGTTGGCAATCCTAGTGTATGCTACTGTGTTCTGGGCCACACACAAAGACTGCCTACTAAGCTGATGTGCTTGCTATCTGATGCCCCACTGCAAAGCTTTCTGTTGGTACAGTTACACAAACAAATGGTCAGCTCAACATCTGCCTGGTTAGCACAAGCTAAAGCTAAATCTGTTAATACCATTAGATAACATTAGCCTTGTGATGCTAACAGATAGCCCTTTCACTGTGAGTATGTGGCCTGGGTGGACTCTCATCAAATGTCGCTAAGGGTATGTCTGTATACAATATTGCCATGACAAATATTTCAATATTATGCTAGATTGATATTTTTTCAGCAGTCCTAACTGTCTCGTGGCAAGGAGGGGCTGCTAATCAATACACTGCAGGTCTACAATTATGATTTTACTCATTTTAGATAATAAAAGGCGCTAAGTGTACGTGTAGCGTAACAAATGTTAAAACTCGTTAAAAACAATAATGCAGTTGGTCGTTGCAAATGCAAATGATTCAAGTGGTTATTTGCAGATCAAGAGGGGAAGTGAGATCCCATCACAAGCAGTCATTTGAGACACGTGGAGACACATTCCAATACCAGGTGACAGACTTTAAGCTGTTCACTTGTGATGGGATCACTAAAGATGCATGACAATACCAGGTGGAAACAAGCTCAGAGTGAAAAAAAAATGAATTCCCCCTCTAAGATTAATGAATTGTATCTTCTTCTTCTTCTTCTTCTTCTTCTTCTTCTTCTTCTATACCAGGCATGCATGAATGTAGACAATAAGTTTATTTCACATGTTCTCATTAGGTCAGCAGTTCTACAGTTTGACTTGCATTAGAACAGAGTTGTTCTCACCTTTGATGAGGTTGTTGTAGGTTTTGTTCCAGTTGTCACGACGCTGGGTGGTGAGGATTCCAACAGGCTCCATGTTGGTCTGTAGTGAGGAGTTGCAGATCCTCTCCAGCTGAACACAAAGCTGATCAACTGTCAGTGGACTCCCATCACTGTTGTATGCTTCCATCACAAAGAACTGAATCCAAAGGGAAGAAACATGAAAGCAAGACTGGGTTACCACCTGAGCAAAACCCCCAGGAGCAAAGACGCTCAGCCCTCCCAAAGCCTTAGGTTGTCAGTGAGCAAATGGTGTTGTGGTCATTTGATTTACAATCATTAATTGTAATTACAACTTGTAATTAATTAAAATAATAAGCTGATTAAATTTCACTGTGACCACTGGTTAGCAAACTGTTCTTAAATCAATTCATTAAGACTCCATATGGATTTATTCAAACAAAACACAGTTGGTGATTGTTAGAGGAGTGGACTTACTGACTAGATGACTGAAAAGACTAACATCTCACAGTTTTGGTGAGTTTTATTTTGTTTCTGTTACATTTCAATGGGGTGTGTTTTATGATGAGTTACCAGGACAATTAAGCTAATGTTAGTATTAGTTTTCCTGCGTTGATCTCCAGACCATGGTCAGAACCATGAGGAGACTTTGTTTTCTTCTGAGCTGCAGTTGGTACACCGAAGCAAATCCACAAGCACACAACTAAAACTGTACTTCACATTTACTTTTGACATCTTCAGTCTGCTGAGCTGTGGCTGGTTTTGTAACTACTGTTCATACCGTAGAGAGCTTCACATACAGTATAATAGTAAACTGTAAGTATAAAATGAATGGATGTTTCCCTGGCTCTGGCAGCAGCTGTAATCAGAAAAAAGCTTAATTCACTGTGCCCTCTGCTGGCAGCATATAAGGTGGAATGTTAACTTGTTATGTTACTCAATGTATGAGTTGACAACGTGAATCCATCAGCGCACCTTAAATTTCACGTGACAACTTTGACCATTACTTTAACTAGTTTTTATTGTCTCTCTTGGATTACATACACTTTTAGTAATGAGAGGATCTTTTAGTGTTAAAAAAAAATATTAATTTTGACTGGAATATGTGAACTGCACATATCCAAATCTCACTCAGAGAAAAAAAAAAAAAGCATCGCAGAGCGTTGTTTCTGTGGTCTCCAGCAACACTAAACCCCTGCACTTGCCTGAGATCTAAATGCACAAACCCATTATTTTTTAATAGCCCATGGAGAGAGACTCTCAATATAGCCTGTTCTTTTTTGTTCTGAAAATGTCGGCGTGTAACCCTGTTCTGTGGATGATAAGCAAGGTGCAGACTGACAATGGAGGAAATACAGTGAGTGCTGGATGGAGCAGTGTGTGACAATAACCTCGCCCACACGAAAGAGTACTGTTTGCCGTGGTCTAGGTACCATGTCTGAAGGGTTACCTTTGGTTCCAAAGGTATCATACTGACAGTGTTTGGTGGAAACAGGGCTTAAATGCCTCACTCTAACTCTAAAACTAAGTTTAACCCTCAAACAGGCCTTTGAAAAAGCGAGGACCAGCCAAAAATGTCCTCACTTTATGTTTTTTTGCTAAAATACACTTTTTGGTCCTCACACACACACACACATACATATTTGCTGCGCACTGAGCTATTCTTAGCTATTTGCAACTCTCGTAAAACGTTAGTCTTAGTTTGGTGAAAGACAAAAAACTTGGATTGGTGTACAGTTGTATATTTTTCTGTTAAAGGAAAGACAGTAGGTATAAGATTAGGCCAAATGGCATTCTCACACTAGTTAATGTGACACACTTTATAGCCTCAACCATCAGATAAATAATCAGACTACTATCATTACACAGACAGCACTAAAAACAGACAGAAAACACAAAATATCAACCACTGGGCACCTCTTCAATATTATAGACCTATTCACCACATTTCATTAAAGGAGAAATTCACAACATTTTAAGTGGCTATCCAATTATTGTTGATGGTAAATGCAGTCAATTGAAGCAACTGAAGCAGCTGTACTGAGAGAGAAGCTGAACTCTCTAACCCTGAATTCTGAGTTGATGAACCCTGAAATGGAAAACTCTGAGTTTTTGGTTCCAGTACGGCTGATCAGAATTAGATCCATCAACTCTGAGTATATTCACCCCGAGTTAAGCTTGTGCTTGGTGAATGGTTTTCACTGTTATAAAAAAGGACATGCAGAGGTTTAATTCTGAGCTGAGGGTGACTTGATGGTGCATAATATTTGAATGAGGGCAAAAAAAATGCTGTTAAAAAAAGAACAACTGACAGCACATAACAGGGGTAACTTTAGACAGCCCTGGATAACAAACTAATATCCAACCAGGATTTTGATTCTGACATACATTAACCTTCATTAATTAATATGCTTTGATTTGCATTTTGACATTGACTAAATCAATGAGGAAATGAAACTGCATGTCTGGCTCTGTCAGAGGGAGAAGAAAGAGAGAAACTCAGGATTTGTTGAAGGAAACCTGCCAGTGAGCATGTTAGGTTCAAAGAGTTAGATACAGTGATAACTGACCCTAAATTTAAGTGACCTCTCTTTCCTAAACAGCAAACCCAGACTTTCCCTCATCCCAGGGTTAAGTTACTAAGCCCCACCAGACCGTGACACCACTCTGCCTTGGTCTGGGTCCATTCTCGCTGTGGGTGAATCAGACCCATCTGATGCCCCACCAGCTATGAGAGATGATGCATGGTTGAGCCTCAGAGCAAAATTCAAGCCTGGGCCCATTCTACACTGGAGTCCTGGGGCCTCATTTGTAAAACTGTGCGCAGGAAAGGTGATGTATGAATAAAGCACAGAAAGTGCTTACGCTCAAAAATATCCTGATTTATAGCACAGTGCGCATGCATGTCCCACGCCTGTTTCCCTTTATAAATCACATTAAACTTGAAATCTGGCACAGGTGAGCGAGTGTCTTGCCCAATCCATAGGTGTCTATAAATGGCCAATGAAACGCCCTGAATTAATAGTCATTAACAAGAAACTGCACAAAGAAGAGCATGGCAAATGTAGCGGGAAAAAAAGGTTAAAACTAAACTTCACACTATGTGAAGCTGAAGTTCTTGTTGGGGAGGCTGATAACAAAAAGACAATGTTGTTTGGTGGACTCAATATGGACATTACTAAAAATGCAGCGGAGTGGCAGCTGGTGGCAGATGCTGTAAATGCTGCTGCCTCAGACTGTTTCAGAAGTAAAGACGAAGTGGTCCAATATTAAGGTGTTAAGGCTATTTGCAATGATTTATTTAGACAGAAAACTGAGGGATGTTTCGAGCTGACTGTCAGAGGGTTTCAGTGACTGTCTGAAATAAACACTCTAAATGCGGGATACAGTTGCAATAGCTGTTTGACAAACAATCTGATTTTCTTGACTCAAATGATCTCTTAAAATACATCTTGTGTTCATAAACAATGCATCACATCCAGATGCTGGCGCACAGCAGCAGATTTTGGCTGTAGCTGATTTTGATGTTTGTATTACAACAAACAAAGGCAAACCAAGATGAATTACAAACAAACAAACAAACAAATGAAGGAACATATCTGACATGCAGCAGGCATCCATTGCCACTGTGAGTCACTGGAAGACCTCACTACTTATTTCCATGGAGGGTAAGAGCTTGAGGTTGACAGATGGATTGGTGCCAGGCAGCAGTGATGCAGATGACTGTACCGGATTACTGGAATGAAAAGGGAACTGAGCCTGAAGGTGAAGTACTTAACTTGGTCGATCTACATTCCGACTCTCAACAATTGTAACAAGTTGTGGGTAATGACTGAAAGAATGAGATCTTGCTGAAATGATCTTTGCAGTATCTTCACTTAGAGACAGGACTAGGGAGAGGACCTGGAAGTCAAACTGCTTCATGTTTAAACAAGCCAGTTAAGGTCATTCGGGCATCTTATTAGAATAGCATTTACCATGTTTTACATTAATGTCCCTGAAGCACTCATATTCACTAGACTCATGCAGACTTACAAATAAGAAGTGACATAATCATAAAAGCTGAACTTCCTTTTGACTGAACTTCAGAGAGCTGATGAGTTCTCTTAAACTGGTTAATATGAGCTTTTGGGGTGTTTTAAATGACCATAGTACAGAGACAAAGGCCAGGAACCTTTTTTTTTTTTTTTTAGCAATGACTGTACAATTTATTATTGGCCATTACAAAAGTTATGCAATTGTTATAATATGTATAGTTTAAATACAACAATATTAGCCCACTATTTTTAAACTATAGGATGTTACACTACCTTCTAAAATGGGAATTATCATATTGTCTTCCAACAGTGGTATTTCCACTATGCTCCAGTTTGGTGGCAGGTGTAGGACAAATCCTTGTCTTTGATCGACTCTGCTCTGAGCATTCATGTGATTAATCATGTGATCACTTGAGAGCTCCTCCGTTTACTTCTTACACTTTACTGTAAATAGGAGTAAGTTGCTTTATAATGTTCTATTCTCCAAATTTAGTCAAAAAAAGCTTTTTTTACCCCTCAGCTGGCACTTTATGATATTTTGGGGTATTTTATGCCTTTATACAGTAGAGCATAGTAGAGAGATTAAGGGAATAAGGAGAGGGAGAAAGTGGATGGTCCAATACAAACTGGGATGTTGTGGTTCATGGTCAGGACCGAAATACCCAACAACCCAGGATGCCCCCTCAGTTGGCTCTTAAGACAATGTCCAAGTGTAATTCTTACGAGTGTTGTTATGAGCACTGGTCCCAGAAAAGCTCAGGCACAGATGTTTGACTTGTTCCTCACCTGACCGTTGTGTACTACAGTGATGTGTTTCTGGGTGTAGAACTCCATGGTGTCCACTGTCGCACCAGGGATACGGCAGGATGAAAACAGATACTGAAACTGCTTCATACACAGTGGCTTCCCTTTTATGTACTCAGCTGGTAGTGCGTCACTGGAAAAACACACAAACATTGAATACTACCTCAGCCATCAAATATCATTTACAATTCTGGCCATTGATGTCCCTGAAGCTGTCACATCCACTGGATGTTCAGAACCACTTAAAATAATGTAGTTTTGTCTCCATGTTTGACTGAAGTTTAATCTTTTCACCTACAAAATAAGAGAAAGGAAAAGGCCTATACCAGTAAGAGGGTAGTACTGATACAGTCAGCCCACAGTTTACTGTCTGTGACCTGTGTCCTGTGTCCTACGTCCTACGATATAGCATTTGATGCACTTACAATATTTATTGATAAGGTTTGAATCAAAACAAACTCTTGTGGATATTAATGTTCTCAATAAGATGAGCAGGAAAACAGGGTTTTCAGGTCAAGCCATTTCTTTTTTCTATGAATAGTTTTACTATGTCATACTATATTTATTTTTATGTGAAAAAATAAGAATAATAAAACTGATCCAAACCAAAGATGCACAGATATGAGTGTACAAAGATAGAGAGCAAATGTGGTTGGTTGAACTTTTCCAAGTTCAAGTTTACCTTTTGACTAGCTTAAGACAACATCATTTAAAAAAACATAGTACTACTTTCAGTCAGCAGTTGAAACCTCTGTTAATGTGCAATTTAACTGCTTCTTCTGGTGTTTAATGTTTTAAGGTGAAAGGAACAAATGAATTGATTAGCTGCAGTTAATATTACAGTTAATTTTTGAGCCACACAGTAGCTGTATTTATAATTACATTGTGTGAAACAATAAATCGTGACTAAAAAAATGAAACTGTTACAATGATAAAATATAAGCTGAGTACTCACTTGTCAATCATTGTCTTTAATTCCATTCCAGCTGCTATCAATTTTGCAGCAGACCTGAACAGAGAAAACATGGTTATTTATTTAAATCTTCATTTTTCATTTAAATGTTTGTAAGAAACAATTTGAGAATGAGACTAACTTTATTAAGGAATTGTTCAAATTAGTGGCTTACTTTTTATCCCTTATATAGGTCAATTTCCCAAAACAAAAAAAGTCTCAAGGCCAATCCAAAATAATCCTGGTGTAGTTTGTCAGCCTATATAAAGTTACCCCCAGAGCCACAGAGGACATTGTACAACAGACTGAATACTACTCATCTAAAAAACTGAGTGTAAATGTATTTATTTAATAATTAAACATAACTGATTTGTCCAAAGTCATAAAGTCCAAAGTGCTTAATGTTTGTCAATGATTGTACAGTACTGATCAAGTGGAAGCTTTTGATAAAGTTGATCACAATTATATGTCTGGGACACTTTATTGCTTATGGTTTTGGTAAGACATTTTTTCTTCTGTTTTATTAAAGGTTGGTGGTGGACTCAGCCTACCAGTCAGTGTTCAAAGAGGTTTCAAGCAAGTTTGTCCATCATCTGTGATGCTATATACTCTCTGGCCATTGAGCGTCTCTTGAATCAGATCAGACAGGGTATAACAGGGTTAACCTGTTCAGAAACAGTAAATTTAGTTAGCTTGTCAGAATATGTTGGTAATGTCACAGTATTCATCACAGGTCCAACAGAAACTGGCATAATATTGCAGTTCAACACTGGCAAAATTACAGAGTTGGCGGTGGACTTCAGCAGGCAGAAAACACCCCTACACATATTTCCATCAAGGGGTGTATGTGGAAACTGGACAGGACTACAAATACCTGGGAGAAGACAACAAATTGAACTGGACTAAGGACACTGAGGCTGGATACAAGAAGGGCAAGAGCCGACTCTACTTCCTGCTGAGGCTCCGGTCATTCAATGTGTGCAGTACCATGCTGAGGATGTTCTACCAATCTGTGGTAGCCAGTGCCAGCTTCTTTGCTATTGTGTGCTGGGGTAACAGGGTGAGGACAGTCGATGCCAACAAAATCAACAAGATCATCAGGAAGTCCTTTCTCCCTGTGGCCATCAGACTCTACAACTCATTCACCTCAGGTCGAGAGATGAACAGTGGAGAAATGGAGACCTGAGGTGGCTCCTCAACCCATGGGACGTAAAGCACCGTAAGGGGCCGTACCCATGCATTAAAGACCTGGAAAATGCGAGGTTGGGCGCTGGGCACTACTTTTGTGCCTGTTTTGAGCCAGCTGTGAAGAGCACTGTAGAAACTTGTATCTGAGGTTGCTATGCAACTTTAACACCTTAGCACCGTATCAAAGCACATTTACCTGAAATCCTGAATGCAGAGCTAACCTTCATCCAGGTGCTGTTTATAAGTGTGTGGGCATATTGTCCATGGGACAGAAGAAAATCTTTGGCAGCTTTGCACCAAAATGATCAACTTTTCCATATTTATCACAGACTGATAATTTCAGAAGAAGGGAAAGATATCGGTCAGCTTTGATTGATTGTTCCTCATCAAATGACATGCAGTGCGCACTGCTGTATTCCAAAAGTTGAACTCGGTTTATCTCAGAGCGCAGCAGGCGCGCCCTGAGAAATGGGTGCTTGGGAACGCGCACGCCACGATGGCGTCACTCTGGCGTTTGAGTGCGCCTGCCCCATGTCTAGATTGAAAACAATAAATCTGAGGTCGCAAAAAACGCAGCATGTGTACAGCCCCTTATGTGATATTAAGGAAGTATCATGGACATAATCATAAACATTGTGTAATAACTACACATTCTCGACCTCTTACACTAAATACCTCAGATTTCACATTGTACAAACATATTTATAAGCAACCCAACTATATTTATCATCCATACTAGTAACCTGTGTGTGTGTGAGTGTGTGTGTGTGTGCTTACCTTATTTTTTCCTTTTTATTACTACAGTACTTTTGGGGAAAGATCCCTGCAGAATTTGATACACCTGCGAGAGGCTTTCGCGCAGCAAGAAATCCATTCTTGACAATAACCTCTGTAAACTAAGAACAGTTACAAACTATAAGTGACACACAGAAAAATACAGACAATGACAGATAAACTCAATTGAGTTTGTAAAGAAGGTGTTTCATGGCGCCTGTACTTCATATTAAATGTTTTTGGACATCTGCTTCTTCCAGATTAGTGATCAAATGGCACAAAATGCCTGAATAAAGTTGGTGGCCAAAAAAAATGAAATGTGGTTCCAATTTACATGAGCAATAACAGTGTCTTTCCCTTGTTTTCTATCCCTTCCAGGGTTGCATAGACTGTAGGTGGCTGAATGTTCACTTTGGCAAGAACCCTAACTGCAAAAGTTAGGGTTTGAATTTATATTTAAAATTATGATTGTTCAAGGTTCAATTCTGGTTGAAACTTAATCTGTAACTGCAACTATAAGTGTATCTGTTTGGTGACATATGAGAATACTGGTGGTCACATATTACTGATACAAATCCAAGAATTGTGCTAAAAGACATCTGTATGACAACTGGGTGCAGCAAACACAGCTTGAGCAGCTCTGTCAGAAATGAGACGGAAGCAGAGCTGCATGATTGGGCAGGGTTTTATTCAGTTTCTTTTATACCATTTAAAAAGGGTATTCCAATGAATCAGATTCTCCTCTCATCCAAGGACTGAAACTGATATGACACTAGTGGGTTTGACATGCAATCACAAATGACATTTCAGTTTATTACATCTACGCTGTTCAGTTATTATCTGTTCAGCTCTGTAATAAAAAGCTGTTCATATATTAATATTTTACAATACATGTAGCATTATCCCAAAGACTTTCAGTACTGTAACTTGGGTTTGAGACTGTTGAGAGTGATGACACATTGAATACGTTCAAAAAAATTGACCTGGTGTTATGAGCATCTTAGGTTCAACTAATGACAATAAAGATCTCCAACTTAATCTAAATCTTTGAAAGAAATACAGTGCAAGAAGTATGAATAAACATATGTGATTATGTTGTAGTCGACCAAATAAGCAGGGGGTGACTTATTTTCTTTTAACTTGAAAGTTAATTCAAATGATTGTATTGTAAAATGACTGAAGGCAGCAACTGTGCTCTTCTGTCTTTTGATCAGACATTATATTCATCATTTGGTGTATATATTCCAGTGAAACATCAGTTGTAGTTATACCATCTCCACCTCTACCTCTGAGCTGGTGCAGCTGCCACTGACCACACCCTTTCTTTCTGTCCCTCTCCAGCCCAACCCTCTGTCTCCAGCCCTGTCCAGCCCCACCCTTTCACTCAGGCCCCATCCTTTCTCCACCAGTTTTAGAGGCCCATTTTGTGCATCTCTTTCCTCATTTCCCAAAAAGTTTCCTCCCTTTCATTTAATTTTGGACCACAGATTGTAATAGACTGAAGTTTATAAGAAATAAATCTTTCATATGTAATTTAACTGTGGTTGAAGAAATATGAAGCAAAAAGTATTATGTAATAATTTGGTCAAGATAAATATGATTTATTTTCTAACCTTGGAGATCTGTATCTGTATCTCCACTGGCAGAATGTGTCTATAAGGTCAGTCCCAGGAGGTGAGTACATAATGAGCTTCTGCAGAACTGCAGAATGTGTGAGGAGGTTACCCCATTGTCTCAATAAATGTGTCTATAGCTACTGGTGTAGTTGTTTGGCTCACCCAGTTCTCAGTGTTGCATGCTTTCATTTCCAGGCCTCTCTGGAGTCTTTCTCCGACTCCTCCTGCTTTCTGAAACTCTTCCACTAGTTTTTTGGTTTGCTTCAACTCATCCTCCTCCAGAATGGGCTCCATATAGCTGAGATAGAGCTCACAGGTCTGCTGCAGAGGGGGGACAGGCTGACTGGGCAGTTCCTTCTGCTGGGACAGGTTTCTGCCAGAAACAAGGGTCGCTGATACAGGTTTCACCAAGTGAAAGGGCCTCGCCATCCCCACCTTTATGCGGGAGATGCAACAGTGTACTCAAATACATGTACATGCATGTTATAACTAATTATAATGACAATGGTTTTATTTTTATCAGATATCAGTAAGACCTTATTGTATTGCACAAAAATGGTTGACATACTTTAGAAAAGCAGCTGGATACAAAATAATGTCACATTGCTGTGCTTTCTCCCCCTCCCTGCCTGTCAAGGTATTGGGTAATACAGGCAGATTGACATATCATGTAATCAGAGAGCTGTAATGATCAGCACTATGTAAACTCATTTGATAAGGGCTTGACTGAGTTGAATGCTTGAATTCATTTATAAGTAAATGTTCTGCTCTACAGCACATAACATAACAAGGGAATAGAGACCCAGACAAGAATTAAAATCAAAACATAAAATCTAAGACATAAGAATACAGGGTAATACAGTAAGCACTAGTTTTGTGCAAGGATTAAGAAATATATGTACCCAAATGGTGCAGTTTACTTACCAGGGCTTTGCTGCAAATTCTCAACATTGTGCTTTCCAAGAAACTCCCACAGATTAAGGCCAAAGAAGATATCTTTTTAAAGATACATATAGGTAATGTTTCTGCTATACGAGAGGAGTTGTTAACCACTGCTCTGCTGTCAGCTCTTAGAGACTACTTGACTTCAACTGAATATAAAGACCAGAGAATGTTTGTTTGTTGTACTGGACAAATGGATGTTCTACAGTGATAGTTAGGGGTAATCAAACAAACTTAGCTAACAAAATGTTTAAATATCAAGGGCAGTTAGGGCTAATCAAACACAACAAAGGTGTCAAAGGCTGCTGGGGCTAAAGCTTTCTTAAAGTACATAGTTCTGTGGAAACTGTGAAGGAGACAGCACATATAGGTTAAACAACAACAGATTTCCATATTAATTATTGTTTTACTTTTAATGGCCACTGTAATTATAGGGTAAATGAACAAAAGCATTAAGCTTTGAAAAACTCTACACAACAGACATATTATAAAGTCGTGCTTAGATTCTCAGTCAGTGATTTTCCTCTCACATCACTGAATTCACCAGTAACTATTCACCTATGATATGATACGATACCACTTTATTGACAGTTAACACTGAAATTTATTTTGTGACTTCTGACAGCTCACCACAAGAAGTTCATCCATGACTTAGTCATACAATTACACAAACAGCATATACCCATAGACAAAACAAACATTATTTTCACATATTACCTGGACTGTAAACTGAAAACTGCTGGCTGGCTGAGACAAACTAGCCCTCCCCCCTCTATCAGTGGTACCTACAGGCAATGCATAACTTCAGCAGAGTGAGGACAGGAATGACTAATACTGACTGATGTGTTCTTCATTCTTTCTAAACCTCAACCAAAGTGTGTGAATGCATGTGAATGTTCAATCACAGTAGCAGTTGGCACCTTGTATGGTAGCAAGTGCCACCAATATGTGAATGTGACATGTAATGTAAAAGCACTTTCAGTGGTTCAAAGACTAGAAAGGTGCTATACAAGGGTAAGTTCATATAGCATTTTAATGATGAGAAGTAGTCCTGATAAAATCATTATGATACCTTATCCCTACTTTTAGTAGACTGTTGGCATGGATAAATTCTAACAACCAATTTTTTGTGGAGATTGGATTTGTATGCATTGTTAATACATGAATCAGAATCATTTGGCTTTCCTGCGTAACTTTGATATTTCTGTTAAAATGGTGCCTGGTAACATTTTATTTTCATAGTCTGTATGTTGACACTCAAGGTATCAGTAGCTATTCAGTAGCTTGTTAACATTAACAATGCTGTTTCAACAGACAAGATACATGCATTCAATTAAGTGCTATTAGACTATAAGGTGCATTTCAAGTGCTGATCTACAGATTTTGTAAAAAGTGTCTCTTGACTGTCAATATTTCTTTCAACAGGTTTTTAACTAATACTCAACTATCTGTAGATTGTGTCAGCATCTTCTAAGCTGATTATTAACAACTCAAAATTAATCAGTTGAAAGTTAACAGGGTTATGTCAACATATGCTCAAGTGCATATTTTACAAGGGATCCCAAACTTACCGAATGAATAATTTGTTGACTATTTCAATTCAGTTCAATTCAATTTTATTTATAAAGCCCAATATCACAAATCACAATTTGCCTCAAAGGGCTTTACAGCATACAACATCCCTCTGGCCTTGGACCCTCACAGTGGATAAGGAAAAACTCCCCAGAATAAAACCTCTTTAACAGGGAAAAAATTGTAGAAACCTCAGGAGGAGCAACTGAGGAAGGATCCCTCTTCCAGGATAGACAGATGTGCAATAGATGTCGTGTGTACAGAACAGATCAGCATAATACATTTACAGTAATTCATATGACAGAATGATACATAGAGACAGGGAGAGACAGACAGAGAGAGACAGAGAGAGAAGCAGGGCAAGCAGTACTGATAATAGCTACAGTAACATTCATTTTAGTAATAATATTATGACACACACACACACACACACACATACGAACCTTTACTGCAGTGGCGGCTCAGAATTGTTTAACAGTTAGGCTAACTACAAATAATTCAAAGTCTTTCTTTACTCTGCAGTCACTATCAAAGATTAGGTGTAGAGGGAACAAACAAACCTGACCAACTGTATACCAACAGAACAATCCTAATTACAGTCAGTAGAGGGGGTGAGCTCTTTGTTCTTGTTATTTTTTGTTTGTTTGTTTGTTTTCATTTCAGTTATCTTTTCTGCCAGTTCACCAACAACTTTTTTCTGACACAGGTGGGCTAGTTCCCAACTGTGTATTTACCCTTTAACTGGTCTCGGACTCTTCTGTCCGCGATGTAAATCTTTGCAATCTTTTCACCACTTTTGAGATGGTGGCAACTGAAAAATAATAATAAGACAAAAAACATTTATGTGAATAAATGCCATGCTCCCCCAAGGATTGTGATGGTGTGTCTTGTATGCAGTGTCTTAAGCACTATTCGGACGGGATTAGTTTTATATAGGGACGTGGGGTAATGTCACTTTACCACAGGACGTCAGTAATATTAATGGCCGATTCGCATGGGATAAGAAATATCAGTAAAACTACCACAAGTGGGAGGGGTAAATCCATTCACGCATCGATGTCCCCTCCTGCCGTCATGTGCGTATGACTGTCAAAAGCACCAGGAAATTGAGTTTGAATATTTTCGAATTAATTTAGTAGAGTTCGAATAATATTAGAATGTATTATTATTAGTATTCGTAGACTATTAGTATTATTATCATTATTATTTTATTTATTTATTTTTTTTTTTTACAAAAAACCCCCACAAAAAATAAGATGCTTATTGCAATATGAACGTGACACTCGGATGAAAACACCTGTTCTGACCTCACTATAGTGCCAGGTATGATCAACTTCTGCCTCGCTATCTGAGCAATGTTTGGATACTTCAGCGCGTAGTTTTCCACCACAAGAGTGGATCCTGGTCGGCTCGTAGTGGTGTCTCATTCTGGCAACGTTTCATCTCTTCTTCAAAAAGGGTAGGCAGGGAGGCAGCAGGTGCACCACTCTCCCTGTATGTCTCCCCGAACAGGTCAGCCTATCCCAGCTGACATTGGGCGAGAGGCAGGGTACACCCTGGACAGGTTGCCAGACTATCACAAGGCTGAGACATAAAGACAGACAACCATTCACATATTCACACTTGCGGCCAATTTAGTGTCACCAATCAACCTAACCTGCATGTCTTTGGACGGTGGGAGGAAGCCAGAGTACCCGGAGAAAACCCACACTGACACATGGAGAACATGGCGACAATGATAACCAATTGATCAAGCCTTGTCAACTTGACCAGCAGGTGTCATTATTGGCTGCCATTACAAAACACACACACACACACACACACACACACACACATATATTATATACATATAGTCTCAACCACATTCAGACCACTGTTTTATATCCATACCAACACACCAAGACCATTTTTGTGGTGTTCATCTTTTATATTGCCATGCATTTTGCATGGTAAGAGAACCACTGAACCATTGAAACGCCTTGAAACTTTATGTTAATGAACTGTGCTGCCCCTGGTGGTTTAGAGGGGTCATCACACCTAAAACCTGTTTTCCCTTTATTTTGAAGGAAGAGACTTAGATTTATTAGGTTTTCATGGGAAAAGCATTATAATATGTCAGGATTACAACATATCAAAAATATATGGTTATAATGGGAGTCAATGGGCTCTAAAAGGGCCATAGTGTAAAAAGTGTATGCATATTGCATATCTCCTAATCTATACACCTTGGAAAAGAGGGGATCGTGGAATTTTAAAAAGAAAATCCTGGCAAAGTTTAATACAGTTAGCCTTTAAACTGACAGATATATTGAGAATCAAAAATATAACATCAGCAGAATGTCCATTTTTGTCTCTTAAGGTGACTCGAGGGTTAAAAAGTAGTAATGTTGCATGCAGTATGCGCACAATCAGGGCAAACTATTTTCTCATAATGTTACGCCCTGAACTTTGACCCTCTTGCTTTTATATCCGTTACCTTGTTGATAAAACAAATGTCACTCACTGAATTTGCCAGTGATGAAGATCAACTGGGAGAGCTCTGCTGTTGCTGTCTATGCAATATATGTAGTTTAACTTTAAAATTATAACTTCACAGATTGCAGATTCTAATGTTATATTTGTGACAGTGAAATTATATCTGCAGTTCTCTGTCAGTTGTTTTTATAGTTATGTCCTTTTGCTGTTTGTAATAGTTATGATTATTTTGTTTACTTAATCAATTAATATTCCTTTGATTACTGTTTGACTGGTCATCAGTAACTTGAATGTACGTTGTCCTCCGTCATTGCGACTTCTGACAGCTGTCAATCAGCTGTAATCAGGCTGCAGCTCAGCTGATGTGCCATATCCTCTGCTGCGCAGAAGATTGTGGGTCAGAACAGTCAAAAAAGCAAGCTGGCTTAGGGCATGAAACA